TTTATCAACAGCACCACTTTTAAAGGAAGGTTGTCAGGTAGGCTTCCAGGGAGGAGGCACAGTTCCCCAAACACAGCTAGTTCCTGGCAGGTTCTTTCTCTGCACCTGTGAACCAGGATGTAGCCTCTTTTATCTCCTTAGCAATTGCTCCTGGCTCCTTCAGGGGAGATTCAACTGGCCATTGTCTTCCACAACAGCAAAGATTCTGAATGTCCTATGAATCCCACTTCTGTGTTTTGTAAAATTAGGCCTGAAAGATGTTCTTAGGGAGAACATGTCATTGGAAGAGCTGAAAATGGGGAGAAGCAATGCTATATGTTATACAAAAATAACTTCACCAGGGACCACACCCCAACCGCCTATTATCTCATCTAACTCCTCCACATCCTTTTTCCCCAGAGAATGGACCTGGCTGCTGTCAGCGATGATTGGCCGGTGGTCGCTCTGGGAACTTCAGCTGAGAGAGGGGCCACAGCAGCCAGGTATTCTCCAGGAAATGCATCTCGGGGTCCTTGGCAGAAGGTAAAAAAATCACATAATTTCTCTCCCAAGCTAGCTTAAGTTCAGATGTGAAAGACGCCAGTTTTAAATCTTTGCCAGAGTAAAAATGAGCCCTGAGCATCTTAGTTTAAGATTTAGAAACAATTACCTTAATAAAGGCAACAAAACATGAAACTTGCCTGAGGTGCATGAGCAGCAGGCTAGGTCCGGGAGGCACAGGACGTGAACGGCGGGCTAGGTCGGGGGGCACGGGCGTGAACGGCGGGCTAGGTCGGGGGGCACAGGGCGTGAACGGCGGGCTAGGTCGGGGGGCACGGGCGTGAACGGCGGGCTAGGTCAGGGGGGCACGGGCGTGAACGGCGGGCTAGGTCGGGGGGCACGGGGCGTGAACGGCGGGCTAGGTCGGGGGGCACGGGGCGTGAACGGCGGGCTAGGTCGGGGGGCACGGGACGTGAACGGCGGGCTAGGTCGGGGGGCACGGGCGTGAACGGCGGGCTAGGTCGGGGGGGCACGGGATGGTGAGAGGATCAACATTAACACCCAGCGTGTGTGACAGCTGAGTCCAAACTCAACAGCAAAGGCTCCATGCAGTTACATCTTGTTTAGCGTTAACAGTCATAAACTGATACAAGGTTTTTGGGGAGAAGGAAAATTTTAAAAGGCAAATTTTACAAGTGAAGTATTAGAAAGAGTATAGTGTCTCCGGAGGGCATCCCCCCTTTTTATTTATTATTACTTTTATAAACAATTGGTTTTTTAAGGTGTGGTGTGTGCATTCAACAATTTTGAGCAACCAGGTGGCTTACTCAGAAAAAAAAAATCAAAGAAAAATATCAAATAACAGTTTCAGAAAATATCACCCAAAAGTCCAATGTCTGCTGCGAATTTAGAAACAAAAGCACTGGTTAACAAAACTAAATTGTATTGGGCCTGGCACAGTGGCCTAGTGGCTAAAGTCTTCGCCTTGAATGAGTTGGGATCCATATGGGTGCCGGTTCTAATCCCGGCAGCTCCACTTCCCATCCAGCTCCCTGCTTGTGGCCTGGGAAAGCAGTCGAGGACAGCCCAAAGCCTTGGGACCCTGCACCCGCGTGGGATTCCCGGAAGAGGATCTAGGCTCCTGGCTTCCAATCGGCACAGCACCGGCCCTTGCGATCAGTTGGGGAATGAATTATCAGATGGAAGATCTTCCTCTTTGTCTCTCCTCCTCTCTGTATATTAGAGAAAACAATGAGAATCAAACCTGAGCACAAATAAAAACAACTTATAGAAGCTTGTTACATGAATCAAAGAAATCTGTGTTGATTTAGCAATCTTAGTTCAAAACAGATCAATAAATCAATTTGGCAACAGTTTAAAATATTTAAGAGTGAGACTGCATGGGCTGAGATTTAACTGTTCCTTTATCCCATCCTCATTTACCTCACCAGAGAAATCCTGTGGGCTAACACCGAAAATGTTTTTCTTTTTCTTAGTTCTAATCGCTTCTCGGCCTTTTGGCTAAGTTCAAGCGTAATTTCATTTTCTGTCACATTATGGCAATATCTTCCGTTAGGAGAATCTCTCCTGAGATTTCTTTCCCTAACTTCCACATCTGCAGCATAAGGCCTTTCTTTTCAGCTGCATTACAGCGGTGTCTCCGCGTCGGAGGGTCTCTCACCCGTTCTCTTTCATCTTCGCCTGTAGCATAGGCCATTTCCTTCCCTGCCACTTGTGCTGGCGCCTCCGTTAGGAAGCCCCTCACACGTGGCTCTTTGCCATCTCATCTGTACTCCAGGGGTTTACTTTGTGGTCGTATTGCAGCGGCCTTTCCTGTTAGGTGTGTTGTAGGGTTTTTGACTCCGAATACGACAGCAACTTCAATTCTTGTCTCGCAGGAAAGAAGAATTTTCGTGCAGACAAAGTTTAGTTTAAAATAAGACTTATGGGCCCGGCGCGGTGGCGCAAGTGGTTAAAGGTCCTCGCCTTGCACCCCCGGGATCCCATATGGGCACCGGTTCTAATCCCGGCAGCCCCGCTTCCCTTCCAGCTCCCTGCTTGTGGCCTGGGAAAGCAGTCGAGGACGGCCCAAAGCTTTGGGAACCTGCACCCGCGTGGGAGACCCGGAAGAGGCTCCTGGCTTCGGATCGGCATAGTATCAGCCCGTTGCGCTCACTTGGGGAGTGAATCATCGGACGGAAGATCTTCCTCTCTGTCTCTCCTCTCTGTATATCCGCCTTTCCAATGAAAAAATAATAAAAATAAATCTTTAAAAAAAATAAAATAAGACTTATTAGAGAAGCTGAGAAGAGAGACTCCCATCCTAGCGATGGGAGGGGGTTTTGAGATAGAAAGGACCCTTACCCCTGCATAGTGGCAGGAAGAGCCCGTATTAATGGTGGGGAATGCACCTTTTAAAGGTTTACCTCAAAGATGTTTCTCTCTCAAAGATGAACAAAGAAAATTCCCGGTTTCCATGGTACCTGGCCTTGGGACAAAAGGCCAGAAAGGCGTCACTGGCCAACTCCCTTGGTCCCTTTCTAATGAGAGGCCGGTCTGAGCCCTCCCCCTTGGCATGGGGGAGACAGAATGGGGCTGAGGCTTCAGATGGGGAATTGATAAGTTAATGTCGCCCTAGGGGAAGCATTCCTGCTGAGTTGGGAGACCTCTGGTGAATCCAAGAGGTGGTGGGGAAAGTACCCTTTTATCTTTGAGAAAAAAAATGACTTGGGGCCCCAGAATGCCCTAACTGCCCACTGCCCAGTCTAGCTCCTCTCTCAGGCGGGCCTCTGACCCCTTTCTTCCTGGTCCGCACTACGATGCATTTCTTTTTTAGGTACATTCCGCTTCTAAAATAGTAAGAGCTTTAATTAAAGCCCATATAATCCAAAAACTAACTTGAATATGTTCTATCCTACCTCTGGCCTTTTCACCATTTTTCTGAGTAAAATTCTTAAATTCAGTCCCTAGTGTCACTGTGTTGTGCCCAGATTTTGAAATCCCCAGGAGTGTGAAGTCGATCCAAGTGCACGAGGATGGTGTATTGAAGCTCAATATCTGAGCCTGGGCTCTTGGTAGAGAGCAGCAGCTGGCTGGGACCCTTTACCAGGAGTGTGGCCCCAAACAGCACATTCATAGGGTTTTTATAGGGGCAGTCCACAATAGCTTGAAAAAGGGCAATTCACAACAGCCTGCAAGGTGAGGGGAACAGCACACATCCCCTACCTGACAGCCCATGTCTCCAGCAACTAAGATAACCAGACTTAGGCGGGCCTTGATTCCTAAGAATTGGGGCCATCAGTGCTAAAGGTCACATAGGCCTTTTAGCCACAAGCTCATAGTTTCTTAGCAACAATGAGCCAAGAACAAACGTTGGGATTTTGATGCTGAGGTTCTTCGCCTTCATCTGGAGACCAAGGATTATATTCACAAACAAGCTCTTCCTAAAAATGCCATTGCTGCCTAGTTACCTTTGTTCCACTTTTCACGAAAAAATTCTGCATAAATGAGATAAAAGACCATGCCCTACACTGGTTCTGGCCCATTGTCCCACTCACTACTTTCTGGGGGCGGGGGTGGTCTTCCCGGTTCAGGGGCCACTTGTCGCTGTCCTCAGCTCAGCGATGGAATCGATGGAATTGTGCATGGAGCCCATAACCACACGTGGACTAATGAGTGATGGCCAATAGCGGAAGTTTATCAACAGCAACACTTTTAAAGGAAGCTTGTCAGGTGGACATCCAGGGAGGAGGGGCTCAAGCCATTTACATCTCAACAGCAAGGCACAGTTCTCCAAAACACAGCTAGTTCCTCTGGCAGGTTCTTTACCTAAACCTTATCAATTGCTCCTGGTGCCTTCAGGGGGATTCCACTGGCTGTGGCCTCCCACAATAGCCAAGATCCTGAATATCCTCCTCAACCCACCTTCCTCCAGAGTTAACCCTCCCCCACCAAGTGGACAATGTTATCACAAGGGAGGGCCGATGGTCCACCCTGAATGCCAGCATTCCACACGGCACAGGCTCCTGTCTGGACAGTCTACTTGTGACCCTGGGAAAGCAGTGGACGGCCCAGGTGTTTGGGACCCTGTGCCTGCGTGGGAGACTCGGCTGGCAGTTCTGGACTCCTAGATTTGGCCTGGCCCAGCCCCAGCTGTCATGGCCATCTTGAAAGTAAACAAGTGGACAGATTTCTCTGTCTCTCCCTCGCTTTATTTTAAATAAATACATAAAGAAAAGCAGTAAAAGAGAACCCCCAGGGTCCTCTTCTGCTGTTGGGGGGCTCCCTGTCGTGTGGGTCACGATGCTCCTATCACAGAAGCCACATTGCGATGGGCCTTGCAGACCGAGCCACCTGTCACCAACTGGCACTTCTGGCCTTGTCCTGAATAGCACGCCTTGGTTACCGGAAGCCCAGGCCCTCCCATCCAGGCAGCCTCTCCCCACTGAGTCAGAACCCCAGATGTGAGGGTGGGGCCGAGAATGTACAGCACAAAACACACAGGAGCCAGGCCCTCCCTCACTTCTCCAGCACTTTATTTTGGTCCCAAACTGAATCTGGTATCCGACCTGGTGGGATGGTAGCATGGCAGCAACCCTCAGAGAAGAACCCCACCCGAGACTTCCCCGCGCGGACCAATGCTAACAGAGGATCCCACACTGCTTTCCTCAGAGCCACAGGCATTGCACAGGGAGAGGAAGAAGCAGGGAGCCCAGCGAGCCCATCTTGCTAGGGGCAACAGGATACTAGGTAGACACAGCCACTCCAGACAACTCAGGCTGCTTCCTGTGGCCCCTCACCTGCAGCCCCTGGGTCTCCGCTCAGAAGGCTGCTGAAGAACCTGGGGACACCTCTGCTTCTGCGAGCCATCCTGGAACCACCCAACCGAGACAGGACAGGCTGCAGCACTGATGCACTTTAATGAGCGCCCTGCCCTCTCCAGCTGGGCCACGCCGTGGTGCCCACCGGCTGGCCTCTAGCCGCAGGAGCCGTCCTTCCAGCCATCACGCCAGCGTTCATCCACGAGTGAGCAGTCAAACTCTGGCTTGCCCAGCTTGTGGTTCACCTCATTGTGCAGGCGGCACAGCCACTGCGAGAAGCTGGTTCGGGTGCGGGTGTCTGGCTGGTTCCTGCATATCCTACAGGGGAGGGGACAACAGAAGGTGTGAGGGGCGAAGCCCCAAGGCTCCCCAACTCCTCAGCTCCCCACAGGGGAGGGGCAAGGCACTGATGGGAGCTCCACCCAGACAGGAATTCCCAGGACCCGGTGACCCTGAAGCTTCAGGGCGTGGCAGCCCCTGCTGAGAGCCCTGGGCAAGGCATTCAAGCACACAACTTTATGACCTCTTAACAACAGGGAAGCCTCACTCTGTCCCTGGCCCCAGGGCACAGCTGGGCGGGCACTGGCAGACCTGCTCCACCCTCCTGCTAACTGTCCTGGCTTCCAACAGCAACAGCAACCCTGCCGTAGGCAGGCTGGGAGCAGCTCCTGTTCTCTCCAGGAGGAAGAGGCTGCTTGGGGAGCAAAAGCAATGGGTTCCCAGGTCTTAAAACCAGGGACCCAGTGGCCGGCGCTGTGGTACAACACGGTCAGCTGTTGCCCACTTAACCGGAATCCTACACAGGCACTGGATCCCATCTTGGCTGTTCCACTTTTGACCCCGAGTACAGCAGCAACCTCAATTCTTGCTAGGGGCAACAGGATACTAGGTGGACCCTTCCCCTCCGCCATAGTGGCAGGAGGAAAAGTGGAAAAGAGAGACCCGTATTAATGGTGGGGAAAGCATCTTCTAAAGGTTTAGCTCAAAGATGTTTCTCCATAAACAGAACTCATGGTTTCCACGGTACCTGGCCCTGGGACAAAAGGCCAGAAAGGTGTCACTAGCCACCTTCCTTGGTCCAGTCAAGCCCTCCGCCTTGGCAGTGGCTGGAGACAGAATCAGGCTGATGGGGAATTGATGTGTTAATGTTGCCCTTGTCTCTTGGGGAAGCGGGTTAAAATATGCACTCGTCTCTGAGACGTGCTCTGGTGAATCCACAACATTGTGGGGAAAGTACCCCTTTATATTTGAGGAAAAATGACTTGAGGACCCAGAATGCCCTAACTGCCCACTGCTCAGTCTAACTCCTCACACACACACAGGCCTGAGAAAAGCAGCAGAGGGCAGAGTGTGGGCTTACGTAGCCCATGTGGCCCAGCGCCAGCAACTCTGGCCATCAGGGGAGTGAATCACTTTCAAAATAAATGCGCTGGTAATAAAACCAGTAATCCAGCTCAGAGGTCAGGCAAGGTGGAGCAAGGACAGGACCCGGAGTAGCAGAGAGGTGGCTGGTGGTCTGCACTTGGCACCCCCCTCCGTGACATCAGCAGGAGCACTGGGCAGCTTGGGGACATGCCTTACCTCTTCCTTATGTCTTCGGCACACTCCTCACATGGGAAAAATTTGGAAAACAAGTGAATGAACTGGGCCATGTCTTGCTGCTGTTCCGGAGTGGGCAGGTCGGGGTAGTAAGCGGCCAGGGTGTGCAGGACTGCCCAGCTGTGACGACCCAGCTCCTCCCGATCCGGCGGGCAATCCTCCCTAATCTTGGTGTCCCGCTGCAGAAGTAGACCAACTAAGGATCAGTTAAGGCTCCCCAAAACACACAGACACCCCCATTTCCGCCTCGGTCGAGGATGATGACCTACGAACTCTGGACCCTGCAGCCGCCCCACCCCCGGCAGCTGAAAGGCAGAAAGCTCGGGACGACCAGGGGGCTGGCCGGGGTCCAGCTTTGGGGACAGCCAACCCCCAAGGGTCCGGGCCCCTGACATCCCACTCGCGGGGGACTGGGGGCCGGATACCTTCTGCTGCGAGCGCATCCACGTCTTGAAGTCCACGCAGGCCCGGCAGGGTCGCTTCTGGCCGGCGCTCTCACCGCCCTGAGGCTCCGCGGCCGCCGCCTGCGCTGGCCGCCCCGCGCCCCGGCCCCGCGCGTCTGTCACCAGGTCGTCCATCGCCTCGGAGCGCGCGCCGCCCGGCAGGAAGGAGAAGAGGCTCCCGCGATACGAGCGGCGCGGCTCGCCGGGCGCCGCCATCTTGGCCGCGCAGCGCCTGCCGGGCCAGGTCGGCCGCCAGAGGGGCCGCCAGCTCGGCCTCCAGGCCAGCGCGCGCGCCGCCGCCAGCGCGCGGCCGCAGGAGCCGGGGGCGCGCGCCGCGGGCGCGGAGGGCGGGCCCGCGCTCGGGGAGGGAGCCGGCTCGGGGCTGGCGGCCGGGCTGCCCCCGGGGCCCGAGCCGGCGTCCGGCGCGGAGGCGGGGCCGGCGGCCGAGGCCCCGGGCCCGGGCGAGGCGGAGCCAGAGGCCGCGGCGCTGGGCGAGGCGGGGCCGCCGGGCCGGGCCGGGCCGGGGGACCGGGCCGGGCCGGGGGCCGGGGCGGGGCCGGGGGCTCGGGCACCGCCGGCGCTCCGGGACCTCGCGGCCGCGCCCGAGCTTGGTTTGCGTCGTCCATGGCGGCGCTCCCGCTTTCGCCAGTAGAAGAGCAGCGTATTGTGGAAGGTGCGCCGCGGACGCGCCGTGGGCTCGGGCTGAGGCCGAGTCGAAGTCCGTGTGGCGGCCCGCGACGCCCCCATCGCTCCGCTGTGAGCTCTGCGCGTGCCCGCGGCCGGGCTCTGTGTCCTCAGCCAAGGGGCGCACCCATTGCTGGCTGCGCGGAGCCATGGCAACGGGCGCGGGACCCGGCGTGACCACACAAGAGTTTTCCTTGGCAACCCTCGCCCTCCTGCTAGCGGTTCCTCCCTGCGCCTGGGCCTCGAGGCAGGTGCAGCCTCAGGGCTTCTGGCCCGCTCCAAAAGCTGTCAGTATAGTGGGCACGAGGCCACCTCCTGGAGCTCAGGTCCTTCTCCACGTTCGTGGTCACCCGCAGATACTCGCCCAGGTCCTGTTCCAAGCACCAGGGGCCCTGAGCAGGGGCACCAATCATGGCTTCTCCACTGCCCTTATCTGATAGTCTCGTCTGTAGTCTGCTAAAAGGCACCCAGGGGTGGGGACCCCTGCACAGCCGTGTGGTAGTCCCTGGAGACAGAGGAAAAGGCTGGGGTTATCTTAAGGGAACAGTGGGGCAGGACTGGCGGATGGTGGCATAGGGTGGTGAGGGGTTGCCTCACAGTCCTAGCAGTGCCAACCAGAGCTGACCCCGACTCCTTGCTGTGCAACGGATTGCGGGGGGGGGGGGTCTCACCGGCTAGCAAGATGCTTGGAAATGGGAGTGGACAGCAGTTGGAATTGTCCCATAGAGAGACAGAAGTTAGAGGCATACAGGGGTCAGTACCATGGCATCCATAAGTTAAGCTTCCATCTGTGGTGCTGGCATTCCTCGTGGGTACCAGTTCAAATCCTGGCTGCTCCACGTCCCATCCAGCTCCCGGCCTATGGTCTGGCAAGACAGTGGAAGATGGCCAGGTGCTTGGGCCCCGGTACTCACGTGGGAGTGCTTGGCTCCCGTCTTCGGAACAACCCAGTTCTGGCTGTCACGGCCATTTGGGGAATGAACCAGAGGACAGAAGATCTTTCTCCCTGTGTCATTTCCTCTGTCGTAACTCAAATAAAAATACTTTTTAAAAAGGCACAATGGATGCAGGCTTGAGCCTGGTGTTTCCCCGCTTTTGTCCCGGGCCTCTCCAGGCTGGCTGGGCCCTCAGTGTCTCCTGGGAAGCAGGTGTCTGCTGCCTGAGCCCAGACCAGGGAAAAGTTACTACAGGGACAGACACAATGGGTTATTGTCTCAGCCAAGGCAGTTTCCTGGAGGGACGCTCGCTGCCTGGGGTGGTGGTAATGTGACACCCAGTGGTGGCCCCACACAAGCAGGAACCTCTGGTATACCCTAGCGAGGTGGGCACCTGGGTGAGCCCTTTGCCCAGACATTCCAGGGCTTCCAGCTCACTCCTGACCATAGTCGGGCACTCAGTCCAGAGCCCCCTACTAGGGCCAGCTACTGTGGAGTGACCCCTTAGTTGGGGTCACTGACACCAACTTCCTCTTCCGTGAGCAGCACCAACAGGCGGGCTCTTGGATCGCCCTCCCCTCCTGGAAGGGCCCCACTCCTTCCTGCGCCTCCCTCAGAACAGCCTTGCACACCTGCCAGGTAGGCAGCTCGTCCTCCGCCCCGTGCTAACACCCTCCTGCAGGCGGCCAAGAACCCAGGGCGGGGCAGCTTCCCAGGGACTGCGGGGAATTCCACCCTTCCGTCTTCCTGCTGGGCTGCCCGGGGAGTGAGCCACCAGGACAGGAGCCACTGTCTACACATCCCAGCCAGCGATGCCCGAACCCAGGCACCCGGTGTCGGTGCGCGGGGCAGCCCTGGTGCAGACGGAGAGGCTGCAGGTACTGACGGGCCCGACAGCCCTGGGGGTGGGCAGTGTGGACTCCTGTCCAGACCCTTTATCTTCCTCCCTGCAGACATATGCCTTCTCTGTGTGCTGGTCAGATGGCAGCGACACCTTAGTGCACAGAAGGTGGAATGAGTTCAAGCAGCTCAAAGTGAGTGACCCCGGGGTGTAGGAGCGACCCACCCTCACCACCTTGGGGCTTCTGGTCCCCGTTACTCCCTGGCAGGGTCGGGGAGCAGTGTTGCCCTGGCGGCCAGCAGCTCCGGGAGACAGACACCTGGCTTCTCTTTCTCAGAAGTCCCTCAAGGAGACCTTCCCGGTGGAGGCGGGCCTGCTGCGGAGATCCGACCGAGTCCTGCCCAAGCTTGCTGGTCAGGCCAAGCGAGCCTGTGTGGGTGTGGGGAGGTTCAGGGAGCCCCCAGCGGGCGCTCACAGCGTGTCCTGTGCCTGCAGATGCTCCGCTGTTAGCCAGAGGGGGACGCACAGGCCGCGGGCTGGCGCGCCTGCGGCTGCTGGAGACCTACATTCGGGAGCTGCTGGCCGCGGAGGAGCGTGTGTCCCAGAGCCCAGCACTCGTGGGCTTCTTCGCACCACAACCCCTGGACCTGGAGCCCACGCTGCCCCCTGGCAGGTGCTTACCACAGCTCCCAGCTCCCAGAGGGGGCCCCAGAAAGGGAAGAGCAGAGAGCAGCTGGGTGGACTCCTGGGCGCCCCTCCACCTGCCCTACCTAGCTCCGCTGCTCTGGCTTCCTCCCCAGCCTGGTCATACTGCCGGCCCCTGAAGAGCCCGTGCTGCCACGTTCTGCCGGCCAGCTTGCTATCCGTAGCCTGGAGGTGCAGAGGCTGCCCTGTCTGCAGCCCTTCCACACCCAGGACACACGGGGCAGGCCCTTCCAGACACAGGCCCACGAGAGCCTGGACGTGCTGCTGCGACACCCCTCAGGTTAGAGTCCCAGCCTGGCTGGGGAAGCAGCCTTTCTGAGCCAGTCCCAGTGGGTCGGGGGTCTGAGCCACACCTGCCTCCTGTGCACAGGCTGGTGGCTAGTGGCAAATGAGGACCAGCAGACAGCCTGGTTCCCGGCCCCCTACCTGGAGGAGGTGGCCCCCAGCCAGGGCCAGGAGGGCCACCTGTTGCTGGAGAACAGTGGTGAGTCCACCCCCCACCAAGGGGGACACTATGCAGTGAGGGAGGGCTGGGCAACGTGGAGGACCCCGAGACCCAGCAGTGACTCCCAAATGCCCACCGCCAGGGTCCCGGTTCTTTTCCACCTGCGCATATGAGGGTGGCCGCGTGGATGAGCTGTCGGTTCCCGCAGGGGCGCGCGTGTGTGTGCTGGAGAAGTCGGACCGCGGATGGTGGCTGTGCAGGTGCGCAGGGCGGGGCTTTATCCAGCTGAGCCCATGGGGCAGGGCACCCCCGCAACCAAGCCCCACCTGCCCCACAGGTATGGCGGCCAGACCGGCCTTTTGCCTGCAGTGTTGCTGAAGGAGGAAGCGCTGGGCGTGCTCTTGAGTGGGCCAGCGCTCCACGGTGGGGAGGCTGCAACAGGAGCCCTCGGATCCCAGGAATACAGCAAGGCCTACGTGATTCCACCCACCGTGCCTGCTCGCCCGACACCCAGCACAATCCAGAGCCGCTGTTGCACCATCACTCGCAGGGCCCTGGGCTGCCATCCAGGGCGCCAGGCCCGCCAGGAGTGTGGAGCTGTGTGAGGTGGGGTGGTGATGTGGGGGCTCCCCAGCTGGCAAAACCAGTAGGCTGATTTCGCACGCCCCCTCAATAAAGTCCCAGGGATGACAGGACCCTGGCATTGCGCCCGTGAGGGTGCCCAGACACACAGACTGAGCCAGACACACACGTTCACTATGTATTCGGGAGGGCTGGGGGGGCCGCAGGGAGTGGGGACAGCTTCATGTTGTGCCACAGGAAATCCAGGAAGGTGGCTGCCTGCAGCGTCCGGCTGAGCCGCTGGAAGTGCCGCTCTGGGGAGTACAGAGAAGGTGGGGTTTAGTGGGCTGTGTGCCCATGTGCTGCCCCACCCAGGCATGCCCACTCACCAGTGTAGGGCAGCAGGGCCTCCAGGGTGGCTCGCACGCCCTCATAGGCTAGCAGTTCCTGGGGGGCCTCGTGCCGCAGGAGTACGCCCAGCACAGCCTGGGCCTCATGGCAATGGCGCGAATTGGTGTTCCACGTGACGCAGAAGCGCAGCAGGGCCTCTGTGGGCAGGGGGCGGGTCAGTCCCCTCACCTACTGGGCGACCCCGCCTTGACCCAGGCAGGGCCTGTGGGCAGGAGGCTGGTTGGTCCCCCTGCCTGCTGGGCTGCCCTGCCCGGACCCAGGGCCCCTTGCGGGCAGTGCAGCAGGTCCCCCTGCCTCTATGGGTGGCAGGCAGGTCGGTCCCCCTGCCTGCTGGGCCGCCCTGCCTCTATGGGTAGCAGGCTGGTCGGTCATCCCATCTGCTGGGTTGCTGCCCACAACCTTCCCAGCCTGGCAGCCAGACCTTTCTGGTCCCTGCGCAGTCGGAGCACCGTGGCCTCCAGCTTCTCTCGAGCCTCAGGGTCCTTCCGGATGGCTGTGGGGGCGCAGAAGGAGGGAACTTGAGGGTCCTGAGCCACCTGCAGGCCCCAGCCCATCCCCGGGACGGGCACTGACCCTGGACAACTGTCAGCACTGTGTGGGGCCGGTCCAGGGAGATGGCGAGGCCCAGCGCTCGGAGGTAGCGTCTTTCATGCAGCAGGTTGTCGAGTTCCTGCTGTCTGGTGGGGGGACAGGAAGGACAGGGTCCCTCGGACACGGCCCTGGGGCTGAGGGCAGAGCCTGTACCCAGCCTAGGTTTGCCCGAGACCTACCTGACCACTTGCTCCTCGTGCTTGGCCTGTGCCTCTGCCTGCTCCGCCTCTGTCACATCCTGGGGTCAGGTCAGGTCAGACTGGGCCCAGGTCCCCCCCCCCCGACTTCCCGCAGCACCACCAACCCCGGCCCCGGGCTCAGAACCTTCCAGACAATGACGCAGGAGTCACTGGCACCGGTGAGCGCACGGTCATCCAGCCGGCTGCAGTGCAGGCCCCAGATCTTGTCCTCATGAGCATCCAGTGTCCGCACGCACTCGTTGTTCTTGATGGTCCACAGCTTCACCAGCCCGTCAGAGCCGCTGGGTGTGGATGCAGAGTGGGGAGCAGTTGACGCCCAGGCCCACTGCCCTCACTGCCACTGGGTCTGCCCCGGGGGCAGGGGACCCCAAGGCCGACCCCCACCGCCCGCCCAGCCCACATACCTCGACAGCAGCTGTGTGCCACGGCTCACGAAGACCACCTTCAGCACTGATGCGTCATGCCCCTCGAATGTCTGTGGGGTGAGGGAGAAGATGATGGAGGGGTGGGGTGGGGGTGGCAGGGTGCAGCGGGGTGGGGTGCAGGGGTCCCTGTGGACCTTGAGGCAGCTGAAGTCTTGTAGCGACCAGAGCTTGACTGTGCCGTCAGCTGAGGCGGTGGCCAGCACCTGGTCCATGGGCGAGAACTGGACACACCATACGCCACGCCGGTGACCGGCGAACACGCCCAGCAGCTGGCACTGTGGCAGGGCCCAGAGCTTGGCCGTGCGATCCTGTGAGCCCGTAGCCATCAGCTTGTCATTGGGAGCGACAGCCACACTGTTGATATCCTGGTGACGAAACAAATTCAGCCCACTGCAGCAGGGGCTGGGACACACCCCAAACCCCCCAGCCTGGTGGCCGCGTGCAGTCACCCACCTTGTCATGGCAACGCTGGGTGGTCTGGGCTTGCAGGAGGGTGGGCCCGTCACCCGGGGCTGTACCCTTGGCCAGCAGGGCCCCAGGCAGTGGCCACAGCTTCACTGTGCAGTCCTGACTGCCGGTCACCAGGAAGGACTCCTTGAGCCTGCAAGCAGACGGGGAAGGGACGCGGCTGAGCCCGAGCCGCTGGCATGCCACAGACCGCACTCTGTCCCAAGTGAGGGCACCACCCTGGGGTGCAGCCCTGGCCCACTACCTGGAGCAACAGATGGCACCCACACTGTGCGTGTGCCCAGAGCCCTGAGCCACACAGGACACCTGGCCAGCCTTGTTCATCCTCCAGATGCGGACACTGTGATCCTGGGCACAGAAGGAGCGTGGGGAGAACAATGAATCAGGGGCCTGTGTGGCCTTGACTCCACCCCCCCAGACATCTCAGGAACCTCACCTTGGCGCAGCTGGCAAACAGCCAGCCCTTCCGGAACACGTCCAGGGCCAGGACAGTGTCTGGGGGAGCAGGGAGGGTGGTCAGAAGCTGGTCACAGGAAGGGGGGGGTGGCGGAGTACAGAGCTGAGCCCCACTTGCCTGTGTGGCCAGGCAGCAGCTGGCAGGCTGACGTCCGCAGCTCGAACACTTTGAGGCAGGAGCTGTTGGAGGCCACGACAATGTGGGAATCCTCAGGCCCGAGAAACCGCACATCTAGCACCTCCTCGCTGTAGCCAGCAAACTGGGGAACAGCACACGGCCCAGCCGGGGTTAGTGGAGGACCAGGCGCCCACCCAGACCCCACGGCTGGGAGAGCGCGCTCACCTGCTTCCGCAGCTGCAGGGAACGCACATCGTAAAGCAGCAAGTTGTGGTCCGTCGTGACGGTCAGCAGCAGGCCAGCGGCGGGGGCCAGGCTGCAGTGGCTCAGCTCCCGCCCGGGGCCCGGCCACGGCGGCTGCGTGTGCACACACTGTCCAGAAGCCGCCTCCCACACGCGCAGTGCACCTGCCCCAGGACACAAGCGGCTAGGACTCTCGGCTGTGGGCCTCCCCCAGGCCCTGCCCCGCCCGGCCCCCGCCCACGTACCTTGGTCACCAGCGGTCAGGAAGTGCAGGCCTGGAGACGTGACACCCAGGTCTGGCGCTGGCTCCTCCGGGAGCAGCACGGCAGCCTCCACGCTCTGGGGACAAGCCACATCTAAGGCTGCAGCCGTGACCCTGTGACCCCGGCCCCCACCTCTGACCCACAGGTACCCCACCTCAAACACGGGCACGGTTCTTGTAACCTGGTGGTTCCGGAGGTCCCAGACGATGCAGATCTTGTCCCGACCAGAACTGAGGGAGAAGCGACTACGTCAGCTCCAGGGCTGCCACCGCCCCCTCAGCTTCACTCTCCCGCACGGCCCGGTGCCGACCTGAGCATGGTGTGGCCATCCTTGCTGAAGGCCAGCGAGGTCACCGAGCTGTAGTGGGCAGCCAGCACAGCGAGGCAGGACCGGTCATGCAGCGACCACACGCGGATGGCAGAATCCGCCGCTGAGGAGAAGAGCAGCAGGCGAGCGGGGTCTGGGTGGAAGGCCACCAGGCTGTGGACGGGAGGGGCAGTGAGTGGTGCTGCCCGCGGGGCTGGGGCCTCTACCCGCGGGGGCCTGCCTGCTCGCCAGCTCCCACTCACTGAACGACGCCAGGGGAGCCCCGGAGGTGGTGTGTCCCGTAGTGCCGCACCACGTCCCACACACGCACCGCGCCATCGCAGCCACCTGTGGGAACACACTCAGGTGATGGAGCCAGTGTGTCCACAGCCCCCGCCCCAGCTGCCCCTGGCCCAGCGGTGGACCTACCGGTGGCTAGCAGTGTGGAGGTTGGGTCGAAGGCCATGGTGGCCACAGGGGCTGTGTGTATGGCCTTCCACAGGCGGGTGACCGTGCCCTCCCGCCAGGCCCACTGAGCCAGCAGCAGTGCCCGGCTAGCTGTCACCAGCACCTGGGGAGACGGCAGTTAGTGGGGGCAAGTGGGGGGCAGGACGTGTCCACTCCAAGGGAGAGAGAAGCCGGAGCCCACCTCTGCCCTGCCCTGGCCTACCTCACTGTCGGGGCTGAGGTCGAAGGCAGTAATGTCCTCTTGGTCCTCCTAGTTCGGGAAGGAGGGACCCAGAGAGCCATGAAGGTGGGCTGCCCTTCCAGCCGCCCCGGTCCCTGGGCACACGGGGGACGTGGCAGTGGGCTGCCCTTCCAGCCGCCCTGGTCCCTGGGCACACGGGGGATGTGGCAGTGGGCTGCCCTTCCAGCCACCCCAGTCCCTGGGCACACGGGGGACGTGGCAGTGGGCTGCCCTTCCAGCCGCCCTGGTCCCTGGGCACACGGGGGGCGTGGCAGTGGGCTGCCATCCCTCCAGCCCTCACCTGCTCCAGGCTCCGCAGCACAGCCCCTGAGGCCACATCCAGGATGTTGACTCGGCTGCCACACACACAGAACAGGTGCTGGCCAGTCCCATCCAGCTGCGGACAGACCCTCAGTCAAGCCAATGTTTGTGGGGGTGGGCCAGCGCCCCCAACCTCAGGGACCCAACCACCCACTCCCACCTGCCCCCCAGGAATGCACCTGTGCCTTCCCGCCCTTGTAGAACGGCTCAAGCTTGCGTTCGACGGCATAGCTGGAAAGAGAAGTGGGGAGCTGGGGGTCATCTCTGCCCTGCCCTACTGCACACCAAGTGCTGCCCAGAGTGACCTCAACAGGCCCCTCCCCTTGAGGAGCTCCTGGGTGGCAGCATGGGGAGCCCTTAGGTGAGGGGCTGGTGCTGTGGGGTAGCAAACTAAGCCTCCACCTGTGACACCCATATGGCCACCACTTCAAGTCCCGGCAGCCCCACTTCCCATCCAGCTCCCTGCTTGCGGCCCGGGAGAGCAGTCGAGGACGGCCCAAAGCCTTGGGACCCTGCACCCGCGTGGGAGACCCGGAAGAGGCTCCTGGCTCCTGGATCGTGCCTGGCCCAACACTGGCTGTTGTGGCCATTTGGGAAATGAACCAGCGTATGGACTATCTCTCTTGTGGGCGAAGGAGTTGATAGCCGTGTTAGGCTGAGCAACGACAGGAACTGGGCTTGTGGCTCCAGCAGAAGCACAGGCTAGACTGGCTGGACCGGCTAAAGGATTTGGAGGGAAGAGCATAAAGGAGAAGAGAAGGCGACTTCGCAGAGACTTCTGCCATCACTGGACTCCGGTGCTTCATCCCCACACCTCTCCCTGTCCACGTGACTAGCATCGCTGGCCGAGCACTCTGTATAATTCTACCTTTTAAATAAGTTGAAATAGAGCAGACGCTGGGTCTCACAGGTAAGAGGTGGGCTGGAGTCAAGGAAGGCACCCACCAGCTTTCTCCCCCCCAGGTGCTGGGCGGCAGCACCCAGGCCTGGAATCCCAACTTCCACACACCGCCCCTTGTTCCCCAGCCTGGCCGCTGCACCTCCCTCCCTCTGCCCTGGACGGCCCCTTCCGCCTCCCAACCCGGAGGCCACACTACGTCCCTCTTCCTTCGCACGCTGGTGGGCGCCGGGCCCCTGCGCAGCCAGGTCAGTGCTGGACAAGGCCCCTGGCTGGCCCTCCTCCGCCTGCCTCCTCGGGATCGCCTGTGTCCGCACCCTGCACGCCGGCGGCATGGGCCGGCTCTGGCGCCCACGACCCCCAGCTCGCTTCCCCCGGACTCACTTGGCCTTGAAGCGGCCAACTGCGGCCGCGGGCTCGTCCATCTCCCGCGGGACACGCCGCCGCGTGGGAAAGCAGCCAGTCCACCCGCACTCCCGGCTCCTTCTGATGGCGTCACCGCCCGCGACAAGATCACCTCAGGAGTAGCAAGCCCTGGCGCCATCTTTGATGTGGGCGGCAGCCGGGAAGCGGAAGCTGGCAGGGGCATTTCCGGTCTGGTGTGTTTGACTCCCTGGATTGGCCCATTTGTTTAAGATTTATTTTAAAACTTTTTTTTTTAAATTATTATTTACTTGAGAGAATTTCTGAGAACAGCCTCACTGGTTCACTCCCAGTGGTTGGGAAGCCAGGAGCTTCATCCTGCACAGGTGGCAGGACCCGCCCCCCCCCCTTGGGCCACCCTCTGTTGCTGCCCAGTGTGTCCCAGAGGCTGAAGTCAGGAAGAGCTCGTGTCAAACTCAGGCACCCCTGAAACCCAGCGTCTACACCAGCCCAAATGCAGACCCCAAAGGGTAGTATTTTTAATTGAAAGGCATACAAGAGAATCGAGTATTTTCCACCTGCTAGTCATTTCCCAAATTGCAAGAACAGCTGTGGCTGGGCCAAGACAAAGCCAAAAGCCAGCAGCTTCCCAGATGCTGGGCCATCCTTCTGTGCTTTCCCAGGCGCGTGAGCTTGGAGCTGGTCTGCAGTGCAGTGGGCAGCAGATGGACTACTACAAGCAGCCGTGTCCCAGTGCTGTAGCACCAGGCCTGGGAGGCATTGGTGGTTGGAAAGGTGTCCTGACAGCCACCACTGAGCCCACTGAAGGCACCTAGACCCCTGCTTCTGACCGTGGACGGCCAGCACTTCCTAGGGTGAACGTGTCCGGCACTTAGGAGGGCTGCACGGAGGGGGAGCTCAGTGGGCCCCTCAGGTAGTTCCTGCGAAATGACACCACTTCTGTCATGCAGCAGGGCCAGGATGCGTGCACCTGCCAGCTGTGCTGAGGACAACGTGGCTTATGCTAGGAGTTCTGAGACTGTTGTGTGATGGGTGATGGCACCAGGAAAGACTGGCAGGAAAGACTGGCCAGGGGACAGCTGAGTGACAAGGGAGAAGGGCCAAGGCGCCCCAGTGGGTGAGGGCTGAGGGGCTTGGGAGACCAAGTCAGCAAAGGACACAGGTGTGACAAAACAGCAAGCCAGTTTGCACAGACGTAGTGAGGTGGCCCAGGCCCGGGCACCAGGTTTATTTACCCGTCTACTTATAAGGTACTTTGGCCCTGAGCCCCGCTCCTGCTTTCTGGTGTAGCCTCAGCACCCTGGGAGGTGCCGGCCAGCAGCATTTCGTCCTCCTCCAGGAAGTTGCCCAGCTGGGCCAGCTGCCGGCGGATGAGGCTGGTGGTGCGATGCACCTGGCGTAGGCGCTGCAGCAGGCGCAGCAGCAGGGTCCGGCTGCGTTCCTGGCGTGCGCTCCAGGCATCACGCAGTTCGCGGTAGCAGTTGTGTCTTGCACGCTCGCCTGGGCCCACAGTGGCCCCACACCCCAGCGGGCAGAGCTGGCGGGCACTCTGCAGGCAGTGCTGCTGATGGTCAGCCAGGGCGCCCCGTGGCACCTGTGCCGTGCACCCCTCGTTGGGGCAAGCCGTCAGCTCAAACGGGCATGAGTCCTGGTGCTCCCTGCGACGGGCCAGGGGGCACGTGACCAGGCATCCAGCCTCGGCGTTCTTGCACTGTGGAGCGGGGGAGAGACCTGTGTGAGTGCAGCCAGGACCACCCTCCAACCCCCCGTCTGACCCTGCTCTGGAAACAGGGAGAGGTGGAAGAGGGAGAACAGAGGACCAGAAAGTCGATGTTCCAAGGGAATGATCCGTGTGAGCAAGTACTTGTGCGTACCAGGATTTCCCGTCCCCTGTAAACACTTGGGAGCTGGGAAGCCATGGCCAGCCCCCCAGAGACTTCATCCTCAGAAAAGGCTCGCAGCCTAGAACGGCCTCTTGCAGGAGCGACCAGCAGGCGGCGTGGCAGGAGCCACAGGGACCTGGGGTCCAGAGCTGCCCTCCCGGGAAGCGGCACAGGCGGCTACCTTCACTTCCAGGCGGCCTATGCTTCTGCGCAGCTTGTTCACATGCACCAGCTTTCTCCTTTTCACCTCTTTCCTGCAGCATGGACAGGTCTTCTGTCTGCAAGGAGGCGCAGTAGGGTAAGTGCTGGTGATGGGGAGGGGCAAGGAGCACCCAGGTGGTCCCTGCTCATGCCGGAGTGGCTGCCCCCAGGAGCTGGCGGTACCTGGCCAGCCACTGGAGGATGCACTTCTTGCAGAAGGTGTGGGCACATGGCAGCCTCACGGGCCTCCTGAATACGCCACGGCACACGGAGCAGAGGAAGCTGCAGTCCAAAGTGCTGGTGAAGAGGTTGAGGTCGTACCCACCACTCTGCAAGGACAGGGGCCGCATCGTCAAGGCCCAGGCCCCCAGCTCTGCACACAGCAGGGCGAGGCTTGGGGAAGGGAGGGTGGCCCAGGAGCCACTTGGACAGGCCATGCTGTCACAGGGGCACCCACCGCCCATGGGTGCTCAGCAGTGGACAGGAAAGTTCCTGGCCAGGGGTAGGAGGGACTCTCACCATGACTGGATCTGGGTAGGCAGCTGCACTGAGGGCCAAGGCCTGGGAGCAGGTATTTCAAAGCTGTGGTCTGCTGACCTCATAGTGGCATTGTCCGGCTCAGACCAATCACAGTTGTGGCTCACAGCCCAATGAGACCTTGGGCCAGGTGGCACTTGACGAAGCCTCTAGGCCAGCTTCCCCAGGTTGAGGCCCCGCACGGCCACTGGCCCCTCAGAGTGACACCCTTGTGCACAGCGTTGACGGGCTTGAAGCCGCCGTTCCCCCCACCGCGTGGCCACAGCACCCAGGGATGGGCTGGGCAGTAGGACTGTGCAGGGCCTTCAGCGGCTTGGTCCAGCTCGCTAGCCAGAGGCTGGTACCGAGCAGCAGGGCCGACTTGGCCTGCGTTGCTACATACGCAAAGGGCAGCCCGGACCAGACCCGGCCAGGTAGCGTGAGGTCCTCCCGGGCCCAGCCATGCAGTTTGCTGGACTCCATCGCGCAGTGCTGAGGTCAGTGAGGACCCACGAGGCTGAACGGACGGCAGCACCTGCTCGCTGCCCCCAGGGGCACTGGGCAGGGGCGGCGAGGGAGACCAGACCAGGACACGCAGAGGCAAGGTGGTCAACTTTTTTATTGCAAAGTCAGATATACAGAGGAGACAGAGATTGAAGTGTTAAGCCCCGGGGGGCTGAGGGAGGTGCCCAACGGTCACGGACCCCGGGAGTCGCCGCCCGAGCGCCCAAGAACCAAGTCAGAGGCTACAAGAAGCAAGAGGACTTTATTGGCGTTCGCGAACGGACCCCTACTCCAACAGGGGAGAGAAGCCCCGAACTCCGGGAGTACAGGCATCTTATAGGCACATACTACAAGCTTAGCATATTTTTGTGACAGGTCTTAGGTTTTACGGCCTTACTCTGACGCCAACTCGGGACTTTCTGGGCTCATTTCTCAGGATAAGGAACTTGCTTGTCGGGAAACAAACCCAGACATCCTTCCCGCGGGGCTGCCGCGGCCTTCCTCGTTTCTTATCTTACCTTGCAAAGCAACATACAGAAGCAACAAAAGCATGAACCCTTACTTCCTCTTTAGGAAGGTCTTCCATCCGTCGACTCACGCCCCAAGTGAGCGCAATGGCCGGAGCTGCACCGATCCGAAGCCAGGAGCCAGGAACTTCCTCCAGGTCTCCCACGCGGGTGCAGGGCCCCAAGGCTTTGGGCCGTCCTCAACTTCCCAGGTACAGGCAGGGAGCTGGGAGGGAAGTGGAGCTACCTGGACTAGAACCGGCGCCCGTATGGGATCCCGGCGCGTTCAAGGCGAGGACTTTGGCTGCCAGGCCACAGCGCTGGGCCCAGCGTGGCTAGCTTTCTTGTCACCGACAGGAACGCGTCCTCGCACGCCGACGTCCCTCCGTCCGCAGCTGTCAGGTCCGGCGGCTTCGTCCTGCGGGGACACGCGGGAAGCGGTCAGCGCGGCCGCCGCTGTCGGGGCCTGGGTTTCACGCCCCCGCACGAGGCAGCGGGGGGCGAGCTGAAGCCCCGGTGGCTGTCGGCGCCCGGTCTCACCCGCGGCCACGGGCACGGCCGGGGCGACTTTCAGGAGGCGCCGGGCTCCGCGAAGAAGAACGTACCTGGACGGACCGGAGAGGGAGCCGCGGGATCGGCCGGCCTTTATACCCGCCCGGGCGTTCCCTCAAGTCCCCGGGCCACGCGCGCACGGAACGCGCAGGCGCGCGCAGAGCGCGGCTCGGAGAGGCGGGGCCTGGGAACGCGGAGCCAATCGCAGCCTGCCAGAGACGAGCGGGGGCGGGAGCAAGGAGCAGCCGAGATCTCGCGACGCTAGGTGGGGTATAAATGCTGCGGCCTGGTTGCGGCCTGTCTTCTTTTTCTCCGGGAGAACACGTGAGTGTCCGCGCGGGGCGTCTGCGCGCGGGGCGGCGGGGGCGGTCGGCGGCCATCGGCCTCTCGCGCCCGCGCCGCCTGCCCAGGGCCGCTGCGGGTGTCCACTGGGCGGCGGACGCGCACCTGACGGGCCGGCCGCTTTGTGTTTCGCAGCAAATGGCGGATGACGCCGGTGCAGCAGGAGGCCCGGGAGGCCCGGGGGGCCCCGGCATGGGAGGCCGAGGCGGCTTCCGCGGCGGCTTCGGCAGCGGGCTGCGCGGTCGCGGGCGCGGCCGGGGACGTGGGCGCGGCCGGGGCCGGGGAGCGCGCGGCGGCAAGGCCGAGGACAAGGAGGTAGGTGGGCGCGGGGCGCGGGGCGGACGGCGGGACCCGAGGGCCTGGCTCCGCGCGCCGACCACGCTCGCTCGCTCTCTAGTGGATCCCCGTCACCAAACTGGGCCGCCTGGTGAAGGACATGAAGATCAAGTCCCTGGAGGAGATCTACCTGTTCTCGCTGCCCATCAAGGTACGGGGGCCGCGCGGCGAGGGAGGCGCCGTGCCGAGGGAGGCCGCGCCGTGACCACCCCCTTCTGCCCTAGGAGTCTGAGATCATCGACTTCTTCCTGGGCGCGTCCCTCAAGGACGAGGTGCTCAAGATCATGCCGGTGCAGAAGCAGACGCGCGCCGGCCAGCGCACCCGCTTCAAGGTACCCGCCCGCGCGCCGGGCTCTCCCAGCTCTGCACGGCCGCACCGCCTTCCCCGTACGGCCTTCGTTAAGGGGAGAGAGAGCAAGGCGCCCCCCGGGACCTGGACCGGCCCCGCCGTGGCCCCTCCCGACCTGGGGGCGCGACAGACCCTGGGCGGGGTGCTGCGAGGGCCCCCCGCCTGACACACGCTCTTGCAGGCCTTCGTCGCCATCGGAGACTACAATGGCCACGTGGGCCTGGGCGTCAAGTGCTCCAAGGAGGTGGCCACGGCCATCCGGGGCGCCATCATCCTGGCCAAGCTGTCCATCGTGCCGGTGCGCCGAGGCTACTGGGGCAACAAGATCGGCAAGCCCCACACGGTGCCCTGCAAGGTGACGGGGCGCTGCGGTTCCGTGCTGGTGCGCCTCATCCCTGCGCCCCGTGGCACTGGCATCGTGTCGGCACCTGTGCCCAAGAAGTTGCTCATGATGGCTGGTATTGACGACTGCTACACCTCGGCCCGCGGGTGCACCGCCACCCTCGGCAACTTCGGTAGGTGGGACTCGGGGTGGGCCGGGAGATGAAGCCACTCGGGGCGGGCCACCCACCTTCCTCGTGTCACTCTTCCAGCCAAGGCCACCTTTGATGCCATCTCCAAGACTTACAGCTACCTGACTCCCGACCTCTGGAAGGAGACGGTGTTCACCAAGTCTCCATACCAGGTGCCCACACTGCCCACCACAGGGAGCTGGGTTTTGGGCTGCACCCTGTGCCCACAGGGCTAACATCCCGTTTGCTTCTCCCGGCAGGAATTCACGGACCACCTGGTAAAGACGCACACCCGTGTGTCCGTGCAGAGGACCCAGGCTCCCGCTGTGGCTACCACCTAATTTTGTACACAGAGAAAATAAAGCAATTTGAACTGAGAGTCATTCTGTGTGTGTGTCGTGTCAGTGAGTCAAACGGAGGCCAGTGTAGCCCGGTCACTTTATTGAGGTTTTGTTGAGGTCACGGGGGCACCTTCAGGCCGCAGCCGCCTCCTTGGCGGCCTTCCTCTCCGCCAGCATTCGTTGCTTTTGCTTGGCCAGGCACTTGCGGGCCGAGTAGTGCGCGCCCAGGTCGTGGTCTGGGGAGGAGCAGGGAGTCAGGCAGGGTGTCGGGCAGAACCGGCCGCCCTGCCCACGCCCCACGCCCAGGCCGGCCTCACTCACAGCGGTCCTGGAAGGCCTTGGACACGGCGGTGAACTGCTGCAGCTCGCGGGCACACAGCTGCCGGTAGCTCTCGCCCTCGCGCTGCTGGCACGCCTTGAGCCGCTCCTGCACGATGTTGACGATCTCCTGGTCCACTTTGCTGCAACGGGTGCAGTGCCTGAGCCGCCCGCACCCCAACCAGCCACCGCATCCTCCCCCGGCCAGCCCCGACCTACTAGTCCCGCCGCCACTGCATCTCGGCCTCGAAAATGCACGGGACGTCGCCGTCGGCGCACTGCGTGATGTCGGGCACGCGGCGGTACTGGCGGTGGTAGTAGTAGTACTTGTTGTTGGCTCGCTGCTGCTCAATGAAGTCTGCCCAGAGACACCCCGGCTTTCAGAGCGCGGCCCGGAGCCCCAACCCCGGCTCTGCTCCAAGCGGGCCGTGCACCCCCCAGGACCCCCGGCTGCTCGGCCGTGCCCCCCAAGGACCCCCGGCTGCTCGGCCCTGCACCCCCAGGACCCCCGGCTGCTCGGCCCTGCACCCCAAGGTCCCCCAGGAGCCCCGGCTGCTAGACCATGCACCCCCCAGGACCCCCGGCTGCTAGACCATGAACCCCCAGGACCCCTGGCTGCTAGACCATGAACCCCCAGGACCCCCGGCTGCTCGGCCCTGCACCCCAAGGTCCCCCAGGAACCCCGGCTGCTCGGCCGTGCACCCCAATGGCCCTCAGGCGTGAGAGGGCGCCCCGTACCTCTCGCCAGGGTCACCGGCCTGTCCACCAGGAGGTCGAAGGCCTTCGTCAGGTAGGTGATGGGGTTGGGCAAGGAGGTCTGCGGCGAGGGCGCCGGAGTGCGGCTCGGGGGCTCCGGGTACACGTCCTTGTCCCAGCTGTCCGGCATGGCGGCGGCCGCTCTTGCTCCTTCCCACTGCGGAGGACGCTCTGGGCAGCTGCGCTTGCGCGGTGGCGGCCGCGAAGCCGCCTGGGACTTGGAGTTCGCCAGGCTAGCTCCTGCGCATGCTCGGAAGCGTCCCCGTTCGGGGCGCCCTCGCATGGGTTCTCGGCGTCATTGCAGGCGCACACCCGCCCCCCCCCCCCCCCCCCCCCTCGCCTGGGTGCTGCTGGTCCTGGTGCCAGGTACAGACAAGTCTTTTTCTATGTCACTGCCCCACCGGAGCCCGTCAGGGGCCAGCATGGGACAGGGCGTGGGGCTTGTCCTCAGGACACGCCCGTAAGGAGAAACGGGGTAAAGGAGTTCTCTGTCACCAGCTGTTTGCTGGCCCAGACTCTGGCGTGTGTCCTTGATGACCACGGTGCATGTTGGTCCCATCCTGCCCAAATGTTGGGACCAGCAACAAGAGCACTGAGCTATAACCTAGGAACCTGAAGAACCTAGATGTGGGTGCAGTCAGGGTCTGAGATGTTGACATTGCACGAGAGTGCTGCTTCAAGTCCTGGGTGCTCCACCTCAAATCCAGCTCTTGCAAATGCACCTGGGCAGACAGCGAGGATGGTCCAAGTCTTTGGGTTCCTGCCACCCACCCATGTGGGAGCTACTTAAGAAAAAAAAAAATCCAGGGCCCAGCGCGATAGCATAGTGGTTAAAGTCCTCACCTTGCATGCGCCAGGATCCAATATGAGCCTGATTCTAATCCCAGCAGCTCCAATTCCCATCCAGCTCCCTGCTTGTGGCCTGGGAAAGCAGTCAAGGACAACCCAAAGCCTTGGGACCCTGCACCTGTGTAGGAGACCTGGAAGAGCTCCTGGCTTCAGATTGGCATAGCACCAGTCATTGCAGTCACTTGGGGAGTGAATCATCAGATAGAAGATCTTTCTGTTTTTCCTCCTCTCTGTATATCTGACATTGTAATAAAAAATAAAATAAATCTTAAAAAAAATCCCAGCAGCCCCACTTCCCATCCAGCTCCCTGCTGTGGCCTGGGAAAGCAGTCGAGGACAGCCCAAAGCCTTGGGACCTGCACCCTGTGGGAGACCCGGAACAAGCTCCTGGGTTCAGCTTTGTATGTGTGTGTGTGTTTTAAAGATTCATTCATTTATTTGTTTGTTTATTTATTTATTAAGATTTATTTTATTTTTATTGGAAAGGCAGATATACAGAGAGGAGAGACAGAGAGGAAGATCTTCCAGCCAATGATTCACTCCCCAAGTGAGCGCAACGGCCAATACTATGCCGATCCGAAGCCAGGAGCCTCTTCCAGGTCTCCCACACGGGTGCAGGTTCCCAAAGCCCTGGGCCGTCCTCGACTGCTTTCCCGGGCCACAGGCAGGGAGCTGGAAGGGAAGCGGGGCTGCCGGGATTAGAACCTGCGCCAGCCCATAGGGGATCCCGACGTGTTCACGGCGAGGACTTTAGCTGCTAGGCCACTGGTTTTGGATCAGCTCAGCTCCAGCTGTTGAGGCTGCGTAGGGAGTGACTCATCTTACAAAAGATCTTCTCTGTCTCTCCTCCTCTCTATGTATATCTGACTTAGCAATAAAAATAAATAAGCCTTAAAAAAATAATAATGCAAGTGTGGATTCTCACAGTGGCATCCCAACATGGGATCCAGGCACCCCCAGTGGCTAATGTGCTGCACCCCAGTGCTGTCCCTAGGGGTCCAGATTTTAAAAGCTACCCCTGCATGAACTTGGGGTGCTGGGTCATCCTTGCTGCTTCCCCTCTGGAGAACATGACCCCCCAGTATGCAGACTGACAGAAGCCCCCAGCAGGACCGTTTGTCCCCTAGCACACGGGAGTTGTTCTCCTGAGAGAGGGTTATGCTTAAGGAAGGCCAGTCCAGGTGCCCCTCCCCCGCTGTCCGCTCCTGGCACCGAGGCCAAGCCGCTGTGGCAGATGACCACACTCTCCTGCCAGGTGCTAAATCCGGGAGCTGCCTGCCTGTGTCCCGGCCCTGCCACTTGCCCTCCGGCGCCTGGCAGGGAGGCCCCTTCTCACTCAGGGGTCTGCAGCCATGGTCAGTGGAGCCAGGGTCACAGCCATGGGACATGTGTGGGCTGAGCTGGAGCCAGGGTGGGGGTGGCCTTTCACATTGCGGGGAGAAGGGAGACAGGCTGACTCTGGCCTCTTCCCAATGAGAGCGGTTCTTAGGGCTGGGCAGCTTGAGGAGGTCTGAGGAGGCAGCAGGGGTGCAGGGCTGGGCAGGTGGGATGGACAGGATGAGGAGCTAGGCAGGCACACGTGCCGCCGGGCCCTCCTGCCCGAGGGGGCTTCCCTGCCGAGCCCTGCAGGCCGAGCCCACTGAGGTGGGAAGCCGCCTGAGGACGGACGGAGGCCCAAGGGCCGGCCGGCCTCCCTCTGGCTCTCTGGGCTCATCCTCACACATTTCGCTCTCCCTCCCTTCTGCCTGCAGTCCCACCGGAAGTTCTCAGCTCCTCGGCACGGACACCTGGGCTTTCTGCCCCACAAGAGGAGCCGCCGACACCGGGGCAAGGTGAAGACATGGCCACGGGATGACCCCAGCCAGCCTGTGCACCTCACGGCCTTCCTGGGCTACAAGGCGGGCATGACACACACCCTGCGGGAGGTGCACCGCCCGGGGCTCAGTGAGTCACTGTCAGGTTGTGGGGGAGCCCAGGGCGGCTGGGGACCTGAAGTCACGCTCAGGGTCCAGGGAGGGCCAGCTGACAGAGAGGACAAGACCCTGGGCTAGGGATTCCCAGTCAGGGCAGTGGTGCCAGCTGGCCCCTGAGCCGCGGGCGGTGCTGCCTCAGCAGGAAGCTGCACATCAAACGCAGCCCTATGTGGCCCTGGGTGTCTGGGCCGCGGTGGCCACCTGCTCCCTGGGTTCTTTGCTTGGAGTCAGTCGTGGCCCCTCCCGGGAGAGGTGGTCCACTTGCTTAAATGGCTGCGATGGCCAGGCCTGGGCCAGGAGCCAGGAACTGCGCGCTGGTCTCCAGCACTTGGGCCGCCCTCCATTGCCTTCCCCGCGCGTCAGCGGGGACCTGGATTGGAAGTGGAGCCCTTCACTGAGGGGCATTGGGGCCACTGCCAAGCTGTTTTCCAAGCCGCCCGAGCGGTAACATCCACAAAATCGTGCTTTATGGGGTAACAGCTACACATACGTCTGTGATGACTCGGGGCTCCGGTAGAAGAGGGACAGCCCCTCGCAATGGGGAACAGCTCCCCTTCCCCTCTCGCACCCCACCTAGAAATCTCCAAGCGGGAGGAGGTGGAGGCAGTGACCATAGTGGAGACGCCGCCGCTGGTGGTGGTGGGCGTGGTGGGCTACGTGGCCACGCCTCGCGGCCTGCGCAGCTTCAAGACCGTGTTCGCCGAGCATCTCAGCGATGAATGCCGCCGCCGCTTCTACAAGGACTGGTGAGGGCGCCCTTGGCCAAGCCCTTGGCCCGACCAAGGCCGGGAGGATGCTGGCCTAGGGGGAAGGGCAAGGACCGACCCTGAGGGGGCGGTCAGGAGGGCCGTGTGCGGGCGCATGAGTCCCGCCGCCCCTTCTGCACAGACTCGGGAAGTCCAAGGCTTCTGTAAGGTGGGGTGAGCGGTGGGGCAGAGCGGCAGACAGGCTGGCCTCAGGTGTCGGACCCCAGGGCTGGCCCACATCCCCTTATCCAAGCTCCCACACACCCTGGGGTCCCACCAGCCAGGGAGGGAGCCTGCTCTGCAGGGGTATTTCCAGGCAGGGCTCAGCACCAGGGGTGCCCGCTGCCGACTGCCCGGCACAGCACCCCGGTCCCTGGGCTCCCCCTGTGTGGCTCAGGCACAGGAGCAAGAAGAAGGCTTTCACCAAGGCTTGTAAAAGGTGGCGTGATGCCGATGGCAAGCGACAGCTCCAGAGGGACTTCGCTGCCATGAAGAAGCACTGCAAAGTTATCCGGGTCATCGTCCACACCCAGGTCAGCGCGCCCTCCCCGCCGCCGGCAAAACAGCCCCAAAATAGCACACTCCTGACAGCTGCAGGGGCCCGAAGGGCTGGCCAGGAGGCTTCGCTGGGCACAGGCGTGGGACGTCCAGTGTCAGGGCCCTCCTAGGGGTCCAGGGCAGTGGGGCATCTGCCTGGGATGGCCCGATGGGCCGGGGGCTCCTGCCCAGCGTCTAGTGCAAGGCTCAGCTGCTGGCTCTGTGTCTTCTGCCACCGAGTGTGTGTGAATCCACCATTATCCCTGGGGGCTTATGCAGATGACAGGCGCCCAGCAGCATCTGGACACCCAGCTGGCAAGGAAAGGCCTCTTGGTTGTCCCCCTCCCCACCTCAAACTGCCCACTGGGGCCTGCCCATCGCCCTGAGCAGACGGGTAGACCACAGGCCATGGGCGCTGTGAAGCACACACTGAGCTATTTGCCCTGCTCACCCCTTGTCCACGTCCACTCACCCCCTGTCCAGCCCTGCTCACGCCCTGTCCAGCTCTGGTCAGCACTGTCCAGCTCTGGTCAGCACTGTCCACCTCTGGTCACCCCCTGTCCACCTCTGGTCACCCCCTGTCCAGCTCTGCTCACCCCTGTCCACCTCTGGTCAGCCCTGTCCAGCTCTGGTCACCCCTGTCCAGCTCTGGTCAGCCCTGTCCACCTCTGGTCACCCCCTGTCCACCTCTGCTCACGCCCTGTCCAGCTCTGGTCAGCCCTGTCCACCTCTGGTCAGCCCTGTCCAGCTCTGGTCAGCCCTGTCCACCTCTGGTCACCCCCTGTCCAGCTCCACCTGGCCACATTAGTCTCTTCTATTCCTGCATGCTGCTCTCCCGCACCCCCAGAGGCCCAGGGAGGCTGTTCTCTCCCCGTCCCTGCCCCATTCCAATGCGGACTCCCCAAACCTTGGGTGCCCTGAGTGCCCCATATATTGCCCTCACGCGCCAGGCACACTCCACAGATGAAGCTGCTGCCCTTCCGGCAGAAGAAAGCCCACATCATGGAGATCCAGCTGAACGGCGGCACAGTGGCTGAGAAGGTGGCCTGGGCCCAGGCCCGGCTGGAGAAGCAGGTGCCGGTGCACAGCGTCTTCAGCCAAAGCGAGGTCATTGATGTCATTGCTGTCACCAAGGGCCGGGGGGTCAAAGGTGGGGACCAGCGGGGTGGCGTAGGGGCCGGCAGGGTGGGGGTGGGGTCAACGGGGTGGGGTGGGGGTCAGAGGGGAGTTGGCAGTGTGTGGGCGGGGGCAGCTGGAACATCTCTCAGCCCCCAGCACCTTCCCCCTACAGGGGTCACGAGCCGCTGGCACACCAAGAAGCTACCGCGCAAGACCCACAAGGGCCTGCGCAAGGTGGCCTGCATTGGTGCCTGGCACCCGGCCCGTGTAGGCTGCTCCATCGCCCGGGCTGGGCAGAAGGGTTACCACCACCGGACGGAGCTCAACAAGAAGGTGTGCTCCAGCCCCCAGCCCCAGCAGGGAGTGTGTGAGTGTATGTGAGTGTGAGTGAGTGTGTGTGAGTGTGTGTGAACGTGTGTGCAGCCTCTGGATGTCCCCGGGATGTGAGCAGGCCCCAGGAGCTGACCGCCCGGCCGCTCCTTCCCCGCACAGATCTACCGCATTGGTCGGGGGCTGCACGTGCAGGATGGGAAGATGGTTAGAAACAACGCGTCCACCAACTACGACGTGACGGACAAGTGCATCACACCACTGGTGAGGAGGCAGCCCGGCTGGCCCCGGCCCTGCGGGGCCCACAGCGGCCGTCCACCCCTGCAGGCCAAACGCCCGATGCCCTGTGGACGCTGCGATCAAGGGGATGTGGGGCGAGCCCCGGGCTCACAGGCCCCTGACCGGTGCCTCTCCCCGCCACCCTCTGCCCAGGGCGGCTTTCCTCACTACGGGGAGGTTAACAACGACTTCGTCATGCTGAAGGGCTGCATTGCGGGCACCAAGAAGCGGGTGATCACGCTGAGGAAGGTCAGGGCGCGGGGGACGCTGCCTTCCGCGGGGCCGCGGGTCGGCAGGAGCCAGGCGGGAGGTGACCCGACTCTCCTCGGCCCCCAGTCCCTCCTGGTGCACCACAGCCGCAGGGCCCTGGAGAGCATTGAGCTCAAGTTCATCGACACCACCTCCAAGTTCGGGCACGGCCGCTTCCAGACGGCCCAGGAGAAGAGGGCCTTCATGGTGAGCCGGCCGTCCCCCCGCACCGCGGGCCCGAGGCGTCCAGTCGGTGCCGCGGGTGACGCCCTCCTGTCCCCGCCAGGGCCCCCAGAAGAAGCACCTGGAGAAGGAGAAGCCGGAGGCCGCGGGGGACCTGTAGGCGGCGGGACACGGAGCCCGGCCCGCTGCCCCATCCGTCCAATAAAAGCCGGACACAGCCGTCTTAGTCTCGCACTGTCCGGGCCGAGCCCGCACCCTGCGCCGGCCACCCCGGGCGGGGCGGGGTTTCGGGCCGCGGGGGCGGGGCCGTGGGAAGGCGGCTCGGGAGTGGTCCTTGCTCGGTGGGCGGGGCTTGATGAGAGTGATAGGATGGTTCCTCTGGGGGCGGGGCCTCTAAAGGCTGAAGCGGAACGCTTCCGGCGGGAGGGGCGTGTCCTCGGCGATGATTGGTCAACGTAGGGAGGAGTCGCTGCTGATTGGTCCCACCTCGGTCCTTAAGCGGCTGCGCGGCCGCTGCGCGGCGGCCGGCGACGCTATGGCGTTCTGCAGCTTCTTTGGGGGCGAGGTCTTCCAGAACCACTTTGAGCCAGGTTCGGCCGGCAGCGGCTTCCAGGGGCTGTGGCGCTGGGAAGCCTTGGGGCTTGCAGGGGCGCGATGGGCCGGCCGGGCCGGGGCTGGTGCGCGGCCTGCGTGGCTCTGCCCGCTCAGGACTCGGGGTCCCGGGACCGCTCACCGAGCCGCCGCCGGCCCCTGGCCCTGGGCGGTGGTAGTAGGGCCTGGGGCGACTGGGGGCATGGCTGGCCCCCCGGCCCTGGCCAGAGGCCCTGCCGAGGCGCCCGCTGAGGTTGACATATGTCCAGGGCTGGGCCTGTGGCTGGGTTCCCCTGTGAGCAGTGGACGCGCCCCTGGGGCTGGGCAGGGGTGGAGAGGAACAGCTGCTGGGCATTACCTCGCCCCATCCTCGGATCCCTGGCCTGGGTCCCCGGTGGTCAAACAGTTCTGCCAATGTGAGACCCCATTCTCACTGCCCTGGACGGCTGCTGGCGCTTGTCCGCTCAAGGTCAGGGGCGATGGGAGAGGGTGGATCCAGTCCTGCCCTGGCAGTTCCTGTTCTGGGTTCTGGCATGGTTTTGCAAGCTCTCCCCCCTGGGGAAGCAGGGGGGTACCCTGCAGTCCTGGAGAGCTCCACTGGGCAGAGGCTGCAGCAGCTGCTGACCCCGGTATTTGGCCCCCCAGGCATATACGTGTGCACCAAGTGTGGCTACGAGCTCTTCTCCAGCCGCTCCAAGTACGCTCACTCGTCCCCGTGGCCTGCGTTCACCGAGACCATTCATGCCGACAGCGTGACCAAGTGTCCCGAGGACAACCGGCCTGGAGCTCTCAAGGTGCTGCCCGCGGGAGCTGGCCACTCCGTCTGGTCCAGTCTGCTCAGGCCTCAGCCGGGGAGTGGCCACCCAGATGCTTTTATTTTAATTTTTAAAGAAGATTTATCTGAAAGGCAGAGTTAGAGATCTTCCACCTGCTGGTTGACTCCCCAGATAGCTACAACCAGCAGGGCCTGTGCCAGGCCGGAGCCAGGAGCTCCTCCAGGCCTCCCACACGGGTGCAGGGTCCCAAGGCTTTGGGCCGTCCTGCACTGCTTTCCCAGGCCACAAGCAGGGAGCTGGATGGGAAATGGAGCAGCTGGGACTAGAACCAGGCCCATATGGGGTACGGACATCACAGGTGGTGGCTTATCCTGCTATGCCACACCTTGGTTCCTTAGGGAGGTCTAGGGTTCTGGGGGGGACACGGGGGGCACGGCTGCCATCCCCAGTGCCTAGCCAGGCCATCGGCCCCTCGGGTTCCCAGGCTGCCTGGGGCAGTCCGGCAGTCATCTGGCAGTTGCTGTGGCTGCTCCAGGGGGTGACCTTGTCCTCCCAGGTGTCCTGTGGCAAGTGTGGCCACCGGCTCGGCCATGAGTTCCTCAATGATGGCCCGAAGCCAGGGCAGTCACGCTTCTGAATCTTCAGCAACACACTCAAGTTTGTCCCTAAAGGTGAGGGGACTGTCCCAGGCCGGGGGTGCTGGGGGAGTGCCCCACAAAGGGTGGTCCTAGGGCGGCTATGGCAGAGGCCGGGCAGCCCCTTCTCGCAGTGGAGTCCAAGGTTGGCGTCCCAGCCTCTCTGGGTCTTGTCCTCACCCTGACCTCGGCCCATGAGAGCCATGCCCTCGTGCCCTCGTGCCCTTGGTGAGAGCCCTGTGCATATGTGGCCACATGGCAGGCGTTCTGTGTGGCCGTTGTCCCCCCATGCCTGTCTGCAGACCCCAACGCTGGGGCTCCTTGCACAGCTCTGCTCCCCTCCTCGCTGTTGCTTTGCTGTCCCCGGGGCCATTCTCCATGCAATGGGACTGCCGGGGCCTGGTGTCTGCTGTCCCCGGAGGGCTCGGGTCACGTCCCTCCCGGTCCCCCATGATGGGTTCCTCTCCCTGTGTTTTCAGGTGGGGACACTCTTGCTTCCCAAGAACAGTAGGCGGTTGCCACGCCCCCTTCTGTGTCCATGCTTGGCTCCCCGGCCAGGAGGATCACCTTGGAAAGGTGGCTTGTCTGCCTGGCTGGGCCCGGGGTGTGCACAGCTGTCTCAGGCCCCTCCTGGACCTGCCCAGAGGGGTCCACTCCCCTCACCGCCACTGCCCCTGCCCTCGTCACTGCATGATCTGCTCTGGCCAAACGCTTCTAGGCCAGCCAGAGTGGTGATGTCTGTGACCTGTTGGGAGCAGCCCTCAGACCCTCCGTCTTGCATCAGGCGTGCAGGCTCCGTGAGCACTCGGTGAAGCAGCTGAGACTCTGTGGCCAGACCTGCACAGCTCCTGCCCACACACCTGTCCCTCCCCAGCACCCAGCCATACGCTCGCGAGCCCTCGCTGGCCAGGGTGCGTGTGTGTCCGTGTGTGGAAAGAGTAAAGCAGAAGCAGCTGCGCAGTGTGTCCCAGGCCTTCTCTGTACCGTGTCGGGGTGGCCGTGACCTTGCTGGCTCTGCTGAGGCCGACTCTCCTGGTTTGTGCTGGCTGGAGGGGACGCCCCGTGAGCAGGGCACGCGGGGCAGTCACGGCACAGCGTGTGTGTTGGGGGAGGGAGGGGCTGCCGCTCGGCCCCTGTGGTCAGGCAGGGGACGTGCTGTGCCATCATGGGAGCAGGCGTGCCCTGGGGGGTGGGAACACATGTTTTGTGTGCCCACAGGCAGTGCCTACTGCCTGCAGCGGGTCTGTGGGGAGTGGCTCTTATGAAATAACCATATATGGATTTGAACAGTTCTGCACCAAAATTTTTTTATTCCAGTTTCTATGAACCTTTTTTTAAAGATTTATTTATTTATTTGAGTCAGGTGTGTAGATCTGGGTGGTCTACTTCCCAGATGTCCAAATGAAGCCAGGAGCTTCCTCCATGTCTCCTATGAGGGTGCCAGGGTGCAAACCTCTGGGCCATCTTCTGTGTCTACCTATACCACCAGCAGGCAGCTGGATTGCAAGTGGAGCAGCCGGGACTCAAACCAGCCTGTAGGGGATACCAGCACCATAGACAGTGGTTTAACCCACTTTGCCACAACATCAGCCTCCCCCTTTTAAAGATTTACTTATTTATTTACTTAAAGATGTATTTATTTTTATTGCAAAGTCAGATATATACATATATATAGATAGAGAGAGAGAGAGGAGGAGAGACAGAGGAAGATCTTCTGACCGATGATTCACTCCCCAAGTAAGCACAACAGCTGGTGCTGATCCACTCCAAAGCCAGGAGCCATGGGCTTCTTCTGGGTCTCCCACGCGGGTACAGGGTCCCAAGGCTTTGGGCCATCCTGCTTTCCCAGGTCACAAGCAGGGAGCTGGATGGGAAGTGGGCCTGCCAGGATTAGAACCAGTGTCCATATGGAATCCTGACGCCTTCAAGGTGAGGACTTTGACTGCTAGGCCACCGTGCTGGGTTCCTACCAGCCCTCTTTTTAAGGGGAAAAAAAAAAAGTATTGGAGCGGGAAAGGAGGAGAGAGATCTGTAGGTTCACTCCCCAAATGAGCAACACCAGGAACCTGGGGTTCTGTCTGCGTCTCACATGTCGGGGCAGGTATTCCAGAAGCCCACCTCAACCTGGCCCTGGCCACTGTGGGCATCTGGGGACTGAGCTGTGGTGAAGGACTGCCCTCCTCTCTGGTTTGCCTCTTGGAACAGCTGGCACTGGGACCTGCAGTCAGCTGGAGTGATGTCAGGATGAGAGGGCAGGGCTGGCACAGATCTGGTGTAGGGGCTGGTGCAGCCCCTTCCCCAGGGCCCACTGGAGCTGGTTGGATGCAGGCCTCCCAGGGCAGGCGGCCTCCTGGGAGGGGCCCCAGTCAGCCCTTGCTCCTCCTCACAGCCCAGGTCTCCCCATGTCCAGGGGACCTGTGGCTGGTCACCAGCGAGTCTCTTGTGTTGGGGAAGGTGGAAAGGGGCCGTTGCTGTTGGCTTGAGGGGATGGGTCCACTGGGAATAGGAGCTGTGCAGGGGCCCTGGCTCCCAGATGTGGATTGGCACAGAGGGGCTAGGGGATGTCCTGCTTGGAGGAGGGCTGGACGTGGGGGGAGGGGTATGAGAGCCAGCCCCCTTCTCCACCATGGCTGGCATTCGGAGCTGGGGGGCCAGGGTCGGGTCCTCCTACTTGGTGCTGGCTTTGGCAGCCTCTAGATCTGGGGACTAGAACCGAGTGTACCTTTTGGGGGTGCTGCTGGTGAGCGGGGTGCCCCACTCCTACTGCAGCTCCCCCCTTGGCCCTCGGGTGCCTCTGCCTCCCAGTACCGGCTCAGGCTGGCCTACACTCTCATCGGGCAGCAAGTGGTTGCAGGCAGACCACGTGTCCTCAGGGGCATCGCCACTGGAAATGGGGCAGGGGCTCCACTGGGAGGAGCTCTGCAGGGGCTGTGCCCACCACACGTGAGCTGCTGCTGGACACTCCAGGTGGTTGTAGTGGATCAGACAGGAGTCGGGTTCCAAGGCTGGGCCTTGGCCTTGGCATTCCTGGCACCTTGCCCTGGTCCAGTTTGTCCCTGGACATGGCCCAAGAACAGACCAGCCTCCGGCAAACCTGGCTGACCCATCCAGGCTGTGTCCCCAGGCTCAGGGCCACAGCTGGGTCAGCGGGCAGAGGCTGGGGATGGGGAACCGGTGGGAGTTGCCTGCGTCCCTCTGAGGGCCCCATGCTCATGTGCACACTCTGTCCTGGGAGTGGGTGTCAGGGCTGGGGGGCCTGGCTGGCGGGGCCTGGCTGGCAGGGCTGGACGGAGGACAGGGTGGTGTTTCTAGCACTAGTGCCCCGGCTCCCTCCCCTCCCAGGGACCTGGCACCTGCAACCACTGTGAGAACACAGCCTGTCCTCTCCCACCTGTGTCAGGTGCTTCCCTGGGGACCAAGGGCTGTGTTCTGGGAGGTCTGGGTAAGCTGCCAACAGACCACCTGGCCACTGTCTCAGGGCTGTGGGCAGCAAATATTTGCAGAATGAAGTGCTCACCTGAGCACTCCCATGCCTCTGGCTGCTTCCCAACCGCCCCAGGAGGGTCAGCAAGGGGTCCCCACCCCAGGCTGGGCAGTGGGTAGGAGGTCCAAGCCCCTCCAGCGCTCACCGCCCTGCTCACACCTGCCAGCAGGGGGCGCCCTGGCCTTGAGCAGCGGAGCGCAGGCGGCGTGCGCGGGGGGAGATGTCCCTTTGGGGTCCTCTTCCTGGGAGGGAGCCACATCCTTTGTGTGTAGGGGCAAAGCTGGCATCCCAAGTGGAAAAACCTCACACGAATCAAGGCCAGCTGGGCCTGGCCACGACGCCCTCCCACCACTCCCTTTGCGGGTTAGAGGAATAGGTGGGGAGGGTGTGCTAACCAGAGCACAAGTTCCTGCGCCCCTGTGTGTGGGGAGCTCTCTAGCAGCCCCCACACAGGAGGAAACACCCGCCAGGGTCATAGACTCTTGTACACACACCCTCCCTGGGGAGGGGATCCACGGGGCAAGGGGCAGAGTGGTGGTGCAGGGGAGGGACACACCCCCCCACGGGCCACAGCTGGACCATGGCTGGCACTGCCCCTGCTCTTCTGGAGTTCAAGGGGAGGTCAAGACAGATGTCAATCAAAGCCCTCCACAGGGAAATCGCCAGTCTGCAAGGGGAGGTGGAGGCACACCCACACAGCCTGGCCAGGGTCCAGGGGGCTGGGCTGGGCCCCCTCGTCCTGCCCCTGGACTCGCTGTACCCTCCTGCTGCGCCCGCCCCGTCCCGTCAGCCGTCTCCTGAGGTGCACCTGCTGGCTGTCCATGTGTCTGATGGTTGAGCCAAGGAATGTGCCTTCTGCTCTTGACCAGAGTGGGGCCCAGGGCAGTCTGGGCTGTGTGTGCCAGCTGCAGGCCCCGGGCTCCCATCCGCCCTTCATGCTAGAGCAGGTGGAAGGGAAAGCTCCCGAGTCTCCATGCTGACTCCGGCCCCCCGGGCCCATTCCTCCTTGTGTCCTCATGGGGACCAGTTCCTCCTGCCAAGTTTTCTGGCTGGTGTGGGGAGGGGGAACTGAGTAGAAGGAAGCCAGCAGGGGCCGCAGCCTGGCAAAGGCCAGAGGGAAGAACCAGCCTGGCTGGAACAAAGCTCCTGCAAGCTAGACCAGAGGGTGAGCTTCCACTGACCCCGTGAGTGCCAGCACGCCAAACACAACACGATGCCATTCAGAGCTCCGGGCTGAGGCTTGCTGCGACCTGGCACGTGCAGCTGTGGGCTCCGGGTCCTGGGACCTGGTGGGTCTTGGTCCATTGGCCCTGTGGGGCCTCCTCTAGCCAGGTCTGTGGGTCAGGGCCGACAGCTGTCCCCCCAGAGGCGCCCCAGCAGTGGGAGGGCGTGGCTCAGTTTACCGCTTGCCTGCCTTCCCCAGGCAGGTCGTGCTGGGGGCAGGTGACCCAGGCAGGAATCACACTCTGGGAGACGCAGGCAGAGCCTCCCCACCTTCATTTCTGTAGGCAGGGTTGCTCTGCCAACGTCTCGGGTGCTGCCAGGTGGGCTAAGTCAAGTAGAACAGTGCCAACAGGTTCGAATTCAGCTCATCCTTATGTGTGTCCCAATCCCCGAGCCATCCCCATCAGCCCTCACCTCCAAGTCTTGCTGCAGACCCACGCCCTAGGCTGCGTACTGGCATGACACCACTGGTGCAGCTCCCTGCCCCCGTGTCCGGGCCAGGCGCAGAGGCCGCCTGCTTCTTTGGTCCACTGGGTCCAGCCACGCAGCTCTCACCGGGCCAGCACTCGGTCCGCGCACCTCCTGTGATTCGAGAGGGGCGGGGTTGGTGTGGTGAGTGCGGTGCTGGGGCCCCCCAGCTCAGGGCTCAAGACGCCGGGACCAGGTTCCCGTGGTCACTGCGGCTTCCCGGGTGTTCCAGGTGGGGCCACAGCCCTGGACCGGGCGGAGCGTTCCGGCCCCGCCTCGCGCCTAGTCCGAGTCTCCCCCCTGGCCCTTGGGATGAGCGCGGCGCAGATCGGGATGCGCGCCCGCCCTCGGCCCCGCTCCCGGGCTTGGACGCCCACTCCATGGCAGGTAGAGGCAGCCCAGACGACGGGGCTGGGGCCGGCTAGGGCGCCTGGGCAGGGGACAGCGCTGCGGGTGCTCCATGCGCCGCGGGTGCTCCATGCGCCGCGGGTGCTCGGCACCTTGGTGCTTGGCGCCTACCACCTCTGTGTCCTTCCGGGCCGCTACCCGCCCGCACTCCGCACCTGCTCCCTCGTCCGCCAGCAGCTCGGGCGTGCCCGGCCTAGGCATGAGGAAGGGCGGCTGCACCCCGACATCCGCGCTGGGCTCCCAGTCCCATTTATCCGACAGGTGCTAGGGGCGCGGTCTCACCTGGCACCCCTGGTATCGACTGGAGGATGGAAGCTAGCCTGTGAGCGCCCAGGCTTGACCTCCGGGATTTGGGCTCCCAGGGCGA